CAGAGAGGTGAGTGACAGCACCCTCCCTCTCTTCTTTTTACTTCTCTGGCAGGTCACCTGTGAGAACTGGCAATGCTGTAATCCAACGTAACATGGCATTCTGCAATCTTCCATCTAGATTTGAGCCTGATTTACAGCCAAGGGAGCTATGAGAAGTAAGAGATGCTTGTGTCAACTCTCTAGTTCTCTGATATGCCTTGAATGTAAGTCCCGGGCTTATCCTTTTCTGTGAGCATTCAGTTCACGGCATTATCCCTCTGATCATGCCACCATAAACGTCTGTATACAATTGGCTTTTAATTGTCTTCAGTGAGTGTAGTGGCTCATGTCTGTAATCCCAGCACTTAGATGAGGCAGGAGGATTGCCATGAGGCCAGCCTGGGCTATATAGCGAAATCTTGTCTCAACTGCTCTCTCTCGCTCTCTCTCTCTCTCTCTCTCTCTCTCTCTCTCTCTCTCTCTCTCTCTCTCACCACAAACTGTATCCTCAATAGCACTTTATAATAAACAAACTATAAGGCTACATACAATATGTCATATTATGTCACCGGTATCTCACTTCCACTGGCAGTGAGGTCATCACTGCACTCAAGGTCAAAGGGCAAGCAAATCCCAGTTACCTGTTTTGGTTAGAGTATCTCAAACAGAAAAAGTTCAGCTGGAAGTTTGCCATAATGATGTTTAAGGTCCACCCCCCGGGGAGGTGGGGCTTGTGGTGTTGGAGCCCAGTCCTGCTTCCTGTCCCATCTCTGCTTCTGACCTAGATGCCAGCAAGCAGCTTCTGCCCACACAAGCTATCTGCCACCGTGCCTTTCCCTATGATAAACTGTGTCCCCTCGAACTGTGAGCTAAAATAAAACCTCCCCTCCTCGAAACTGCTTCTTTTATGTGTTTTACCACAGCAATGAGAAGAGTAACATACCACAGGCCCTGGTGTCACAGCTGCCCAGTGGGGATCCGGGAGCCTGACATCCAGCCTGCTGTGGCTGTACATACAGTCACCACCACTGAACAGTCTGTCACTGTTGTCATCCAAGATGCTGTCAGAAATCTGAAGCAGAGCCATTGCTCCTACCCCAAATCTTCCACCAGTGCGGCTTTCCCACTGATGAACTCAACAGGAAGTGATCTGGGGGCCACGCTGCAGGGCACAGGAAGGGGAGGGAAAACAGGGCGGAGAATGAACAGGTGAGAAAGCCCGTTAAATCCACGCAGAAGTCCCAGTGATCTCTATCCACACGCTAAGCTTCTGCAGGATGAGGCATCACATTGGCTGGTCTCTGGGAGTTGCTAGGGATTAAAACCGGTTCTCAACGAAGCTGGGAATGTGGCCCAGTGTCTATGAACACTTGCTGCTCTTCCAGAGGACCAGGATGCGGTTCCTGGTACCTACTTGGTGGCTCACAGTAATTTGTAACTCCAGTTCTAGGGGATCCAATGCCTCTGCTGGCCACCTTCAACATCAGGCTTGCATGGGGTGCACAGACATACATGCAGGCAAAACACACTCGTACACATAAAGTTGAATAAAATTCTTTTACAAAAACAAGCTGGGACTTTAAGTCATGGGGGAAAGACATGGTGGGGTTGGGGGAGGCAGTGTACACTTCATCTAAAAGAACTGTCCCATATGTATGACAAAGGATTTTTATCTGGAAGATACAAAAATATACTAAAAATATTTTTTTAAAGTATTCAATACAGAAATAAATAAGCAAAAAGACAAAACAACCAAATCCAAGCAGACCCAGGCAATTTCCTCATCACGGGGAGGTAAATAACACACACTTACCTCGCTGAGCACCAAGGCAATGTCAATGCTGAGGGGCGGCGCAGTGGGTAAAGTGCTTGCCACCCAAGCATGGGGACCAGAGCTGGATCCCCAGCAGCCACATGGAAGCCAGGGTGAGCAGGATGGCCTAGCCGTAATCCCAGAACTCAGTGGGCAGAGGGTATCCCTGGAGCAAGCTGGCTGAAGTAGGTGGGTGAGCAGACTCGGGCTTAGGTGAGACCCCACCTTGGTAAAGGAGGTGGGAAGAGCTTGAGAAAGACCCCTGTTGTGGGACAGTCCTTCACACTGTGTGACCCCGCTGTGGACAGTCCTGCACACTGTGACCCC